TGAATAATTTTTTTGAAGATAAACGAGTCTAGTTCAGTGTCATATAAATACTACAAATATTTGTATTTACTGAACTTGTTACCTGATATAAATACGGCATCGAAAACAGTCATGCAGCAAAAGAAAAACATTTGTTCATATTTGCGACCGCTTACTGATAGCTAGTAATTTCTATTTATAATTTTTAGCATATTTTTATTTGCTGTATACTAGCGGCACACCCTCGCTTCGCTCGGATTCCCTCTAGGAAAACAAAACAAATAGAAAGTAGCCTATGTTCCAGACTATAATCTATCTCTGTGCCAAATTAAAGAGACGTAAAAGACGTAATTTTCACATTTATAATATTAGTATAGTTATTTTTTTATATTTTACAAAATATAAAAAAGATAAGATCCTAAAGATTTTCAATTTACATTTAGAAATGATTAAAGTAACATGTAAGCCGAGATAGATTTTTTATTTACAGTATTAAGAGTATTTAAAATCTTTTAATCCTATAAAAAAAGGAAATATATTTTTTTATATATCTCATAAATTGTTTTAGGTTGAAATTTCCGTGTTTATTGTTTATATTCTTAAATTTTTAGTATGATTTATTTGACATTTAATTCTAACGATTATAATTAACAAAACATTTTGTTTTTAGCAAAGGTTGTACTCAAGAGCATTAGTCTTCAGGGTTAGACGTAAGATCATTTAAATTGGTTCCATCGATTTCAATCTTTACTGTTTAGGTGGTTTCTACCTGTGTAGACTCTAGATCTGAACAATAGAAGAGTTGGATGCGAAAATGTAGATCTATCATATTGCTTTATCATCGGAACTACATATGTACCTATATCTATTTGCGCAATTTCAACTCAATCGTGCTACGTATATTGGAATATTGGGTAGAAATTCGATTACCAAAGAAACATACTAAAAATATCTAAACAATAATGCACATAAAGCAACATGAAATTGTTTATAAAATCGTTTAAAAATGCAAAGCTTACACATTAAATACAAGTTAAGATAGTATATAAGCACAATAGTGCTGAAGTCCATTTGCATTCACCACTGATTCACAATGCTGATTTGATGGCACGAGATCCTGCTAACATTCGTGCTAGTACATATCTCTACTAGGATTACCATACAATTATATAATATATGACCGAAAATTAAACAAAGGTAGGTTATATTGTATTATTTAATTTGTTTTGATAATGTATAAAATACTAACACAACCCGCGGCTTCGCTCGCTCTAAAACTACAAAAAAATCTCTAAAAAGATAGGTTTCATACAAACTTTTATCCCCTATTTTACCCTTTTATGGGATGAATTTCGAAAAATGCTAAAACACATATTTCTTTAATTATATTGACGAGCATTAATACCAAGTTTCAAGTAATTCTGATAATAAATAATTTTTTTTGGTTGTATTATAACGTGTTTTCCCGTGGGAGTGAGATAATCTCCGGCGATAAAAATTCTAAAAACTATAGATTCGGCCTCTGTATCGATAATTTTTTTTATTAAAATAAGATTTTCCAAAAAATATTTAATGTACAGATTCGGCTTAGTTACAATTTTATTATATGTACAGATTAACCATATTTGTTATGATAAAATTTTATTAAAAATCAGCCAATACAGAAGTGGAAATACTACTTATCAAAATAATTATAAAATATTAATTTCAAGCTACTTACCCTCCTTCACTTAGGTTAGGTTTGTTATTAAAAGTAACCTGTGCGTTACTCCTGTCTACTAAATTAAAACAAAATCCGTACAGCCAATTCAATGTAAAGATGTATCAAAAATATCCACACTAATTATACACATGAAAACTCTCATTCGCTTACAATATTAATTCGAATAAAATGATTACAATTAATATTCCACTCTATGGTACTCGTAGGAACGTATTATTTAAACCAGGAAAGTATTAGAGGAGCTTCTAAAATTCGAGTGCTTTTATAAATTGACGTACTCTTTTCGAATTTTCACTTTAGTATCTTTGCTATTCGCGCTGCCACAATGGAACTGAGGCAGCCGAAATAACATCTCGTATTGGACTATTTTACTGTGAACATGGTTACTTTAGCTACATTCACTGACATGTGTATTATCCGCCTGTGGCGAAAGGAGGGTTGTGTTTGACCTGTAAGTATGTATGTATGTATGTCCAATACTACGTTCTCTCGTAATTACTACGTGGCTCAACTTATTTTAATGATGCATATATTGTTACTTTGTCTTGATAGCGCGATTATTTTATTATTCGTACGATACCTATAGATATTATTAAAAAGAGCGGATTTCAGGCGCCAATCTATGTTGAAAAAATTGTTTCGTCCAAACCTATCGAGCGGGGTATTAAAATGATGGCTTTTACAAAAATAAGATGTAATAAATAAATTTAAAAATAATTTAGTATATTGAATTGTTTAAAAACTGAAACTCTTTAACTGGCCCAAAACGAAAAACCTGTAATTAAAAAAAATACGTTATTTTGTGCCTACTTATGTACGCACTTAAGAAGTTATACGTATAAGTATTTTTTTGCGTAACAGAAAAAAAATGCTAAAGATTTCATCCCGTATGTCACAACTCTCTGTTTGTAAAAGGAATGCAGCTAACTTCATTATGCCGCTTTTTGGCTGTCGAAGGACGCGCGCATTTTAAAAATGTTACTCTCATATTTTTTTAATAGTTCCAAAAGAAGTATTACTTCAAAAAATATTTATAAATAATATTTTTGGTATTCTAGCATCATAAATTTCAACACGTTAATTGGTGAAAACATTTCTGCTAACGATAATAAGCTCTTTTAAGACGTAACTATTTTAATTGCCAATTATCAGACTCATTGTGTAAAAGATATTCCTATCTTTTATTAATAAATCTTTCTCTACTGTATATATTTAAGTTAACTGCCTCGGTGGTGTAGTGGCTAGCATGTACGGTTGCACACTCGGAGGTCCTTGGTTCGAGTCCCGGGTCGGGCCAAGTTTAGTTATTGAGTCTTTCTGTAAAGTAAGCCTCAGTAACAGCCCGGAGTTGGGAAGTTGGCGGTGTTTCACCCCCGTGCCTCGGAGAGCACGTAAAGCCGTCGGTCTTGCGCCTTAACTCTCACTGGTCGTGTCGAGTGGTCGTCCCACCAGAGTATGAGTGTGACAGGAACAGAGAGTGCACTTGTGTCTGCGCGTACACTTGTGCACTATAATATCTCCTGTGCAGTTGGCTAGTCTCAGTGAGATTGGAAGCCGTGGCCGAAATCAGTCAGGAGAAGATCATCATCACCATATTTAAGTTAAAACAACGTTTATACGTTGTACTAAAACATCCATAGAGGCAGACTAATACTTTTATTCATTCACTTTGCATTTCAACTGGCAAAGAGGGATACTAATTATGTTTATTTGTAAAATAGTACGTCCTTACTGTGAATGTAAGTAGAGTTTATATTGCAGTTATTAATGAATTGATTGACGTTGACGACACGTTTGGCTCAGTTGGTAGTAACCTTACTTGCTGTGCCAGCGGTCGCGGGTTCGAGTCCCGCTGGGGGCATTCGTTTGTGTGATGAGCACGAATGTTTGTACTCCAGTCATGGGTGTTTATATTTATAATATGTATGTATTTAAAGTTATATATATGTAGTGTATCAACTATCTGGTATCCATAACACAAGCCTCGTAGCTTACCGTGGAACTAGATGGCGATGTGTGTTAATGTCCCAAAATTTATTATATTTATTATTATTATAATTAACAAAGAAATAAAAAATTACCTTTCAAGTTTAGAAAAAATTAAGTATACCTATGTATAGGCCGATGAATTACTTTGGCATTTAATTAACTCATCTTTTTAATAATATCAACTCGTTTTCCTAAATTTTTTTATTATTAGAAATATTTTTAAATATTTAATAAACGACAGACGTTATAATATTTTTAGAGTACTTAACGTATAAAGTTATCGTAATAGATTTACTGTGTCGCATAACCTTCGGGTAAGCAGTCCTAAAGATATACTGTAATTAAATTTGAAAGCTTTTCTTCTGGAAATACTCTTAAAGTTGCGGTCACATAGTCCTCATTTTTAGAGATATTTGATATTATCTTTTAAACTTATCAATTATATATAGAAATAGAATAGTAATTCTTTATATCAAAGGAATTCTAAACCTAAATGAAACTGGTTCATTTACTTTGAACAACGTAAATATATTGCTGCAGAGATCACTTGTTGCTTGTTGTAAGTCGAATTTAGTTGAGGTATTGTTATGTAGCATGACATATTATATTTTACAGCTAATGAACTCGATACTTACTGAAAATCATAATAAGCCCTTACAGTGACTATCTTTGTATAAACATATTTTATAAAAATATAAAAGTACGCTGATAAAGCTCAACTAACTTTACTCTTTTAATTAATGTCGAGTTCGCAGAATGTCACTTTTTGTGAAAATATACATATAATGGCCAGTTGTTCCATCACACGGAAGCAAGTATTGGCTTTATTGAGGAAGGTATATTTAAACTGGACGGTAAAGTTAAAAACAAATGGTTAACATTTGACTACGGAAATACGGAACATTTCTAGCGCACATTATAATAAAATTGTAATAATTTAAAGACGTAGGATTTTCATGTCTCTTCTTTCTTTATATACATATAATAAATTTTTACCTATTAAATGTATGTATAAGTCAAACAGATTAAAATGCATTAAAATAATACAATAAATTATGGCATTGCCTAGATATTTGTTAATTATTATAATGTTATTTCTTAATTTATTTTATTTACTCGTAATAGCCTAAGCAATTAATTAAATGTTATTATTGTATCTTAAAAATAATAATTTGGTTGCACTTAGTTATGTTAATGTGTTTGTATTATTAAGTACCTCAGTGGTGTAGTGGCATGTACGACTGTAAATTCGGAGGTCCTGGGTCGAGTCCCGGGACGGGCCAAGTTTAGTAATTGAGTCTTTCTGTTAAGGAAGTCCCAGGAACAGTCCAGAGTCGGGAATTTGGCGGTGTTTTATCCCCGTGCCTCGGAGATCACATAAAGCCTCATCGGGTCGAATTATCGTCTCATCGGAGTTTGGAAGTGAAATGAATAGAAAGTTCATGTTGTGTCCAGTTGCGCAGTGCAAGTTTTGTAATTGTGATAAAACTCCTGCACTAGTTTCAGTGAGATTGGCCACTACAATTAAAATTGGTAGGGAGAACATCATTATTTACTGTATATACTGATTTTATGTATATTTACGAAAAAACTCCGCTGATACCTATTTATAATGGCATATTTTTAAGTTTTATTATTATATGGGAAACAATAATACAACAGAAACGTATTCGAAGGTGAGAATTGAGATATTGTATAATCTTTATATATATAATTCTTCTGTGAGTGTGTATGTCACTGAACTTCTCTCAAACGACTGGACCGATTTTGATGAATTTTTTTGTGTGTGTTCAGGGGGATCTGGGAATGGTTTAGATTTACAATTTGAATAATAATTTTCATCAAAAAAATTATTAAAAAAAGTTTGAAATTTTCAAATTAAAGACGTGTAGACAACGTCTGTCGGGTTCGCTAGTAATATTATAGACTTGAAAGATGAATATTCAACTCGGAGTCTTAGAGATGCTAAGTGTTTCAAGTAAGCCGCTAGTCAATACTGAAGTCAAATTACGCAAAATAAGAAAAGAGGGATGGCACTCGATATATCTATACATAATATAATAAAATTGTAACTAAGCCGAATCTGTACATTAAATATTTTTTTGGTAAATCTTATTGAAATAGACATTATTATCGATACAGCGGCCGAATCTATAGTTTTTAGAGTTTTTGTCTGTCTGTCTGCCTGTCTGCCTGTCTGTCTGTCTGTTACCGCATCACAGAAAAATCATTGGAGGGATTTTGATGAAATTTGGTATGATAGCTGGTTATCCGGGCCAACAAATAGGATACTTTTAAAATATCTCGTATCTGAGAAATCTATACTAAACTTTAAAACGTAAGTAGGGACGAACCCGAGCGGAGCGAGGATGAGTCGCTAGTTAAAAAATATAATTATAAGCGAACTATTCTTAAATCTATTCTAAAATATTCTATCTATTCTATATTTTTATATAGATATCCCACCGTACATTTTTCCGGAATAAAAAGTAACGTATGTGCTATTCTAGACTATAATCTATCTCTGTGCCAAATTTCATTCAGATCCTTTCTGCCGTTCTGGCGTGAAAGAGTAACAATTATCCATCCATTCATTCTCACAAACTCTCACATTTATAATACTAGTGAAATACTAGCGATTCACCATCGCTTTGTTTGTTTGGGTTGGGTTCGTTGGGTTCGTCCCTTGACAAAAACAAATCTATCCCACGGGAACTAATCTATCCTAAAGGCACGATACATGTTTCCGAGATAAAAAGTTATCAGACTATTGCTATTCCTGACAATAATCTATCTCTTTGACAAATTTCATCCACATTCGTTTAGCCGTTCTTGCGTGAAGGAGTATTATTTATTTATTTAATTCTTTATTACGCCAGAAATAAAGAAGTACAATTTGAAAACAAATACATCACTACAAAATATATATATTCCAGTGTAAAGGCTTATCACTAAAAGTGATTTATTCCAGGCCACCTATATTATAAAGGAACTCGTAGGATAGCATGGATAAAGGTTGGTGTAAAAAAAACAATATGACATACTTACAGTAATGGTACTTTAAACTACACACAAGCTTACATAAATAAAAATAAAGATATACATAAATATATAACATAAATCATAATATATAAGTTTAAATAATATAAGTATATATTCCACAATAAACTTAAATAAACAGGGCTTACATAAATATACATAGACTTACAAGGATAAATAGTAGTCTTTAAGACGACGTTTAAAAACTTGCACTGATTTTGATCGGTGAATATTATTACAGCTTTGATTGTATACGAGATACCAAAGCTTTGGGTGCGACAGATGGGCAATGCTAATTTACTGTCGGTTTGCGATCAAAGGCTTACGGAATGGCCAGAACCAAGGAAACTAAACCTTGTTTTAAGATGAAAGGAGATAAATAAATAGTTAAATAAGCAACAAACATCCATCCAAACTTTCGCCTTTATAATATGGGATGGGAAAAATGAATGTCCGTATGTTTGTCCTCTATACCATTAATCCGATTGTGATGAAAGTCTGGTGGGTTAATCTGTATACATAAAGGTTCCTGGCGCAAGAAGAAGAATTTTTCGTTAGACGTTTGTCTTTTATGCATTCCCAAACCAAACAGGGACGCACCCTAGCGAAGCGAGGTTAAGTCGCTAGGAGATTATAAAATACAAAAGGAATTTTTAAAATTGGTCTGATTGAAATTCTAGAGATAAGGGCGTTTAAACAAACAAAGCAAACTCTTTAGCTTTATTCTAATAAAATTTTCATTAGAACTGTCATTCCAATCCAGTGGATAGTTATTTTCATTTCCACGAACTGTGTTAGGTAATTTTAAATTTAATACGATACGTATTATATAATGTAATTATTATATAATAGATTATTAAAAAAAATTTATGCTTAGTTTTTAAAATTCAATTTCAAGGATTTTTTAGATAATTGTCAAAATAAACACATTTCCTATTAGACCTTAAAATGCGTAATATTTGGTTAAGATATTTAATATATTTACTTACTATATTTGATTAATATATTAATAGGACTTTAATATGTCAATAACATTGTATTACAGCACTTACAGTAGATTACTTACCTACCTTTTACTCTAGGAAAAAAAGGATTTCATGATTTTACTTCGTTAAACTTAACGTGGTCCTAGTGGGTGAATGATTTTATTAAATGTAAGTTTTTTTATGCTAGGAGTTTTCAATAAACGTAAAATATTGTCTACATATACGTAGGAATCAGAAAGCCGAATGAGATGTCATCCTCATCACGATTTCTATCTCTTCTTCTTCTTCTTCTTCCTGCCCATTTCCAAAATTACTTGGGGTCGGCGCAGTACGTCTACCATACTGCTGATCGGTTTTGGCAAAAGTTTTACGACCGGCCGCCTGCCTGACATCAACCCTCTTTGGGAATGCTGTTGTTTACCAACGTCGTGCAGAAACCCGAGGTGCGATAACCAGCACAATATCGTCTTCTACGACACTTGCAGTGCTTATTTTAATTTTATTTGCCGCGTCGTTTCAATATCCAATTTAGAGTTAATTTTGATAAATATGTAATCATTCAATTTCATGTCAAACCATAATGTGCACCAAAATTCAGCATTTTTTTCACTACTTTCACTGACATAGCCAATTGCTTACGTTATTCATAACTTAATACTTGAAGAGCTCTTAAATTTATTTCTTTAAATGACACACACATATTGTTCCCATAATGTTTATTTTTTCCAAAATGTATTCATTGTTGGTCTCTTGAACCTGAGAATCTTTTAAGGCATTTCAATAGTCTTCTTAAAAGATCAAAGTTTATTTTACTGTATAATTTTTAATAAATTTTAACACGATTTCTATCTACTACACGAAATAAGACTTAAATTCATAGCGAGTTTCCGCGTTCTAATTGCATATATGTATATAGATTAAAGCCTCTATGTTACTCTATTGTATAAGCTCTATTACTAATATATTAGTGTAGTATTTATTGCGTTGACAAACATCCATCCATTCATATCTATATTAAATCTAATCTATTTTAACCGACTTCCAAAAAGGAGGAGGTTCTATGTTCTTTTTATGTATGTTTAACTTGTATGATTTGATTTCAATTTTTAATTCACCGATATGATTAAATTGACATTAACACAACGGTATATATATTCCTTTATATGTATATATATTCCTTTCTTATTTATTTATATTAAAATATTGTATAACGTTATTAGTACAAAATCATATTATATTATAACTTATGTTAGTCGGCATCAATTTATAATCTTTTATTTCACTCGGTTATAATTTTTATTATTCAATATTTAATTTAAAGAATAAAGGTCCATTTATTTATTTGTTCATTGAGGTCCTAACTTCAACCCCCTCGTCACAGATAAATGATCAATACGAATATGCTACAGAGCTCCACCAGTTTTAAGAGGTAAACCTAAAATAGCACAATGATTATATCAGCTCATGAATTATTTCAATTTCAAAGATCACGTTTTTTTTATTTCCCTACTAGCGGTTCACCCTCGCTTCGCTCGGGTTCGTCGTTAGGTATGTTTTAATTAGATATAAATAAATAGTAGCCAGTGTTAGCCATATAATTTTTAATTTTTTTTTCGTGAATTTTCTGATGTTTTAATACTTATTATCCTATTGCGGACTAAGAGAAATCCAAAAAATCATATACCTATCATAAAAATTGGTCCAGCCGTTCTTGAGTTATTAATGGTTGTAACTAACACGACTTTGTTTTATCTATACATCTATACATAGGTGTATAATAAAATTGTAACTAAGCCGAATCTATACATTAAATATTTTTTTGGAAAATCTTTATGAAATAGACATTACTATCGATACAGGTGCCGAATCTATATTTTTTAGAATTTTTGTCTGTCTGTCTGTCTGTCTGTCTCTCTGTTACCGCATCACGGAAAACCACTGGAGGGATCTTGATGAAAATTGGTATGATGTTAGCTGGTTATCCGGGTCAATATATAGGATACTTTTACTGCGGGAAGATATTTCATCTCTAAGAAATTTAAACTAAACGTTAAAACGTCATTAGGAACGAACCCGAGCGGAGCGAGGGTGAGTTGCTAGTATAAAATATAGATTATGTTAAAGTAGAACTCCCTTTTGATTTAAGCACCCATTTTTAATAATAACTTATTGTTTTTGATATGTAAAATTGCAGCGGGTTCCTCATTAAATGTTAAAATATCAAAAGAAAAAGTAAAAGAAAATAAATATAATCTCTGGAATACAATTAAAAAATTGCTTAACGTGAGTCTATTTCGTGCTAGGGGCTTAATTACACTATTCTAAATAACACTCTATTGTATTGGTAAATACTACCCTATTATAATGTCTGGCCGAACGATCTTCTTCTTGATCGATTTTCATATTATTTTCAGAGTTGACTTTAGAATGCTTTAATATAGATAGAATCCACTTATTCCACTTAGATAACCTACTTTTATGTCACTGAACTAATTAAGTATAGTTACAACTTACAACTGTCCAC